GCCAACCTCTTTCCCCTCCTGTTTGCTCCTCCTTGGTCCCTGGCTTTCTTGGGGCCCGGTCCCCCCAGGCCCAGTGGTGCTCCCCTGTCCCCAACCCCATGTCATGCCTCCGCCTGTGCTATTGTAGAATGGAGCGGGTGCGGTGAGCCCCGCAGAGAGACTGTGCTGGCTGCCTCACCCATGGTCCCCACAGCTGCCAGTTATTTTGCTGCCAGTTTGCTTGCTGAGGTTGACTTCCCCAAGTAGATGGGGAGCTCCTCCAGGAAAGGCCTGGGTGTCATAACCCCAGAGCCTCCCCCAGGGCCTGGCCTAAAGCAGGGTAGCAACTGTTTGCTGACCTAGCGGCCGATGGTTCCCATCCCCCACCTTCCCGCTGGAATCCCAGCCGGTGGCAGGAGAACGCGTGGAAGAGCACCTGCTCAGTGTCAGGCCAGCTGGGCTGAAATCCCAGCTCGGTCACTTGATGACTGTGTGACCCCAGGCACACCCCTCAACCTCTCTGAGCTGCTCTGTCTTCATCTGAAAAATGGACAATGTTGACCCCCAGTGCTCTAGGGAGAGTAAATGGACTACGCTGGGGTCAGAGCCCCTCCCTGCCCCCAAGTCGAGGGGAAGATGACGATGAGGAGAAGCCCCCACCTGCACCCTGACCACCCAGCACCGCTCTCAAGGGTCAGATGAGTGAGTCAGGTCCATCACCCCCATGTCTGAGAGTGTTGGAGACAGGATGCTTGGCTGGGATGTGTACACGCACACACATGTTCACCAGTGTGCATGCGTGCATGTGCGCGCGCACACACACACACACACACACACACTCTGGGGCACAGCAGCCAGATTCAGGGCCTCTTTGGACAACATCTAAGGGGGAAGGGGTCTCCTCCTCTTTTAAGTGCAGTAGCTAGACTTCCAGGTGTACCGTGGGTTGGGGGACACGGAGGACCTGCTAGGGAGTTGGAGATTGGCTGCCCATGTTGTGACTCAAGGTGGGATGCTGACCTAGGCTCTTAAAGCCCCCTCTCCTAGGCAGAGACCAGAGACCTGTTCTGGGGGGTAGGAATTTCTCAGAAAGCAGATTTTAGTTCTCTATGGAAGACTTTCTAGAAGTTGGAGCTGCTGAAACATGGAAGGAGCAACCTTGTAGGGTAATGAGTTCCTTGTCACTGGAAGTATGCAAGCCAGGGCTAAGACCTCCCTGTGGGAGACATATGGATGTTGGCAACAGATCACCCCTGTGTTTTTTTTTTTTTTTTTTTTTTGCGGTATGCGGGCCTCTCACTGTTGTGGCCTCTCCCGTCACGGAGCACAGGCTCCGGACGCGCAGGCCCAGCGGCCATGGCTCACAGGCCCAGCCGCTCTGCGGCACGTGGGATCCTCCCGGACCGAGGCACGAACCCATGTCCCCTGCATCGGCAGGCGGACTCTCAACCGCTGCGCCACCAGGGAAGCCCACCCCTGTGTGTTTTGAACCCCCTGCCGTAGGGCACTGCGTTCCATAGACAACCTGCCCAGATTTCCGAGTGTTTGGAAAACACATTCTAAATTGTCTAATTCTGCTGACTAAAACCAGACACAATGCTGGGTCTCTATCCTTGAGATAATGACATCATTTCCTTCTGTTGCAGTTGTCTGTGCTGCTGTTCAGATGGTTTCCTTGAAATTTTAAATGAAAATTTTCCCAAGTACTGTTCGATTCCCCAAAGTTTTAGAAATGGCGTTTTCTGGTTTTTAAAGGGTTTTTCTGATCCAGGAGCTTAGGGGTGGCGGAGGGGTAAGAGGTGGGGGGAGAGTGCCGGCTGGAAGCAGGTTTTCCTGGGTTTGATGGAGTGGCTCCGCTGGCTGTGGTGGGGGGAGTGGGGAGGAGCAGGGGCCACTTTCTCTGTTTGGAACCCCTGCATCCCTAAGGCAGCCGGGAAGCCCCGCTTTACCCCTCCTGCCCTGGCCCAGCCTGGCCCTGGGATCCCCCAAGTGGCGGTGGCCGGTTGAACAAGGTCTGTGGCAGCAAGGCCTTGTCAGCAAAGCTGGCAGCACAGACAAATATTCTGAAGGCCCAAGGAGGTGAGCAGGGGGACAGGGAGGGCCTCATCCTTCATGACACCCACAGGGAGCCCCATGGCAGCTTTGGCAGGCACCCTACAGCCTACACATTCTGCCCCCACAAGGGAAACAGCTCAGTTCACCCACATTTCCTGTACCTTGTAAACCCCAGGCTCCCCCCGCCCCCGCCCCCTGTAATAAAGCATCCTTGCACCTGGACTTTCTGTCCAGGTTGCTGGGTGGGGGCGGGGGTTGACAGGAGCCTGTGAATGACTCCCATCTGGCTAATCGCATCATTTCATCCTACTTGTCACAGTGACGGGTTCAGAGAGGGACCTGTGACCCATGCTAGTCATTAAGCCTTAATTCAATAAGCCTTAATTCTGGGACTCTAGTTTAAAGTATAAAGCAAGATGGAAGCCTGGAGCTGCCCAGGCCATCTTTGCTGCAACTTGGGGAAAGCCTATTTAAGAGGGAAGCCAGCTTGGAAGAGGAGGTTGCTCAGAGATGGAGAGACCAGACTGCGCTCTTCTGACCTCACTGAGCAACTGGATCTAGCCGAGCCTGAAGCCAGCCATCAATCCCCCATCTTTTCCATGATATGAGCTGAGATTCCTCCAGCCAGGAAGAAACTGGAGGCTGGGAAACACGGCCAAGATCTTGCTTTCTGGTCTCTGCAGAGGTAAGGGCTTTGGAGTCAGACAGACATGGGTTTGAATCTGGACTCCTCACAGACTGAGACCCTTGGCCAGCTACCTCTGTTGGAGCTCAGTTTCCTTCGTTGTAAACTGGGGATGGTACCTGCTGCTTAAGGTTGTCGAGATGACTTAATGGGCCCAGTATATGGTCATTTCTGATGGAGACGCTTGGACAGGAACCCAGGAGGTCCGGCCTTGCCTGCAGCAGAAGTTGCCCTGAACTGGGAGACTGTTCCCTTGCCAGGACCTCGGTTTCTCCACCTGTGACACTGGAGAGTGGACAAGCCCTCCTTCTATCCTCTCTGCTTCTTCCCCATCTCCACCCTGGCTCCCTCTCTGGGCAACCCTGTCAAGGTGAGTGGTGCCAAGTGCTTGAAGTGCTTTGTCTGCTTCTCAGGAGAACAATGTGAGGTCAGTGTCATCAGCCCACTTTGCAGATGGAGAAACTGAGGCTCACACTCAAGGGCACACAACCATAAGGGCAGAGCTGGGATTTGATCTCCCATCTTCTGAGTCTACACCCTGTACCTTTGGGCTGAGTTTCTTAGGCACTCGCCCCGTCACCATCAGGGTGGCCAGGGCAAGACCCGCTCAACATGCCTGAGCCCCAGCTCCCATCATGCACCTCTTTGAAGCCCTTCCCAGCTGCGCACCCTCATGGTCACGGGGTGACCTCTCTTTAGGTGATGTATCTGTGTCAATTTAATTTCATAAATCAGGTCACTTAAAAATGTTATGTGTCCTGGAGAACCCTTCTGCAAACTCAATACCTGAAGGTGCTTAAAGCCGAGTCCTTGCTTTACACATGGGTAAGATGAGACCCCAAGAGAAAGCAAGAGGACCCCCGGTCCTGAGCAGCTTCCTGTGAAAGCCTTGAAGAGCAAGGACCAGGCCAGTGTGGTTCACTTTGTGTCCTGGGAAGCTTCTGGATTAACTAGCCAGTCCAACGACATAGGTGCTGTGCTAAATACCTTACTAATCCTATAAGCTTACCTACACTAATCCTATAAACCGGGAGCTCGGAGAGGTCAAGCCACTTACCTAAAGTCACACAACTTGAAAATGGGGGAGCCAGGACTTGGATGTGGCTGTGACTCCAGTGCTCTGTTCCTTTCCCTGCTCAGTGCCTGCCCCTCTGGGCTGCCAAGGAGGATAATAAACCCTTCCCAGGCCTCCCAGGAAGAGCTTGAAGCTAAATTGAGATAATAGACCGGAAAGCCCTACCAGAAGAAAGTTACAAGCTCTATACAAATGCAGTGCATTGTTATTAACAAAAGGCTTCAATTGGGAAAAAAAGCCTAAGGAGGGAGCTGCTGAGGGAGGCTTTTTGGGGGCTGAAGCAATAAAGTGGCACCTGGGAGATCCCGCAGGACTGGTGCTGGCATGTCATTAACTCATTACCTGCTGGACAAGGTGCGCCCAGCTTCCGGCCTCAAGTACCACAATGAGATGCGTTACCAGTTTTCAAATGCTTTTCACGTTTTAGGCATTTTACTAAGGGCTGGGGATTTTAAATTATTATTAATTACTCTTAATGGAGACCTAAGCTACCATTTAGAGCTTGTGCTATGTACCTGGCATGGGCTATGCCCTTTACATTTTTAAAAATTACTACTCACAGCAGCTCTGTGACGCAGGCATCGTTATCCCTGTTCTCCTGGTTGAGGAAATGGTGGCTCCAAGAGGGTGAGTCATTATTTAAGGTCACCCAGCGGGCAAACGGGGAGATGGGACTTGATCTGAGTTCTAACCTACTTTCAAGCCCTCATTTTATGTCGCGCCCCCCGCCCACCAGGATAAACTGTCTTTGGGGAACCAAGGAAGGGGTTCGGGGCTAAGGGAGAGGCTGTTCTCAAACACCGAGGGGCACCAGAATCGCTCCAGACTCAGGCTCTCCCCCCAACCGACCAGACTTCTGCTGTCGGAGGTACACAGGGTGCTAAGCTGCCAGGGCGGGGTTCATACCGGCTCCTCCCCTCCTGCCGTGCTCTGACCTGGAGGGAACTGAAGCTCTATTGAGCTCCGGAGCATCTCTGGTCCTAGAAATGAATCGTCAATTCATTTTTGCAGAGCCAGGCTTTGAATCTCACTCCTGTGTTTCTAAAACAGCTCCTGGCTCCGCTTTGCCCATAGGAAGCAGGCAAACTCCTGAGGCTGTCGTTCGAAGCTATGGTCTCTCTGGCCCAACCTCGGTGCCCATCACTGTCTGTATGTACCCAGCTGGCCACTCTGGATGCCCCTCCCTTTCCCAACCAGGTCAGGTGCTGGCCAGTTCCTCTTTCTGGAATGTCCTTTCCCTGCTTCTCCTCTGGGCAAACTCCCACTCAACATTCAAGGCCCAGTTCAAAAGTCACCTCCTCTGTGGGGTCTTCCAGGATGGCACCCTTCCCCTGCTCCCAGGAGAGCGATAATAGTGTCCTCTGTGTCTCCATAGCTGTGTCTCCTACGGTCAGTGCAGCATGAATCACGCAGGGTTATAATTCACATGTGTATCATCCTCCCACCAGACCCTGAATGTGGGTTTACTCATCCCTGGGTGCCCTGTGCCAGGCACAGGGCTCGGTGCAGTGTAGCAGGGGTGGGGCTGTTTGAGGAGGGGATGGGAGGCCTGGGTCCTGCTCGACTCTCGAGCTGATGTGTAGCCTGTGGAAGGCCTGTTCCTTCCTCTCTGAAAGAGGGAGGAGTTTGAGCAGAGTCTGGGATTTTCAGCCCTGACCCACTGAGAGTCTAAGAATCTGGGATTCCAGAAGATAGACCTAGGCTGCGTGAGGCACCCTTTCTGGAAGGTGTGAATGATGGGTGCCCAGAGTTCCCCAAAGGCTGAGATCTGGGAGGACCTCCTGGGTGTTCAGTCTTGACCTCCTTCCTAAGATGGGCCCACTTGGGAAAGCCCTTCTCGGGATCAACCTCTTTTGTGATGGTCCCTCTCAAGACAGTGACCAACCTGGGAGGGGCATCTCAGCAGCTCCCTCCCCTGGAGCGGCCTATCTTAGAGGAGCCCCTCTTGGGCCGTGGACCTAAGGACAGGCTCCTCCTGGATGCCTGGGCACAGGGCTGGGCGGGGCCACACCCCTCTTACCCGCAGCTGCTCCTCAGGCAGGTCACTGCCATCATTGATGCCACGGTTCATGGACACAAAGCGCTCGAAGGGCGGCCTGTCCCGGACACTGGGGTTGTGGAGGCCGGTGTTGAGCATGATGATGGAGAAGGACAGGACGTAGCAGGCGTCTGCGGGGCGGGGGGCGGTCAGAGCCTGGGCGCCGGCCACTCCCCCTCCCCTGCCCCAATCCCTTCCAGGGGCCAAGAATGGGCTGTCTCAATGTCCCGAAGGTCCACTCTGTCCTCCCGGCTTGGCATTTGAGGCCTGGCCACGCCTCCCACTCTTATGGGGCTCCCTGCTCCAAATAGGCTTCAGGTGTCAGTTCCGGAGCCCCTGTGTGCCTTCCTATCCTGGAACTTCTGCTCCTGTTGGGGCCCCTGCCAGGCACTCCCTCCTCTTCCCTTTCTACTCACTTAAACCCTCCAGCTCTTTTGGCCCCAGCTCCAGCCCTCCTCCCCACCCCAGCCCTCCTCCCCCCAGCCCTCCCCACCCAGCTCCAGCCC